GGACAGCAGGCCTTGCTGGAGATGAGCTCAGCCAGGACAAGCCAGACGGCGAGTGATGGGCTGAAGAGAGGTCGTGGTTTGAAGTCCGCACACGAGGTGTGACCTGTTCAGAGGGGCTGAGGGCCGAGCTGGGGGAAGGGTGGAGCCAGGAGCTTGCTGGAGGGGCTCAGGGCCCTGGCTTGGGTTTTTCGTTTGTTGAGAGAAAAACTTCATGAATTTTTACCTGAAGGTAACTCATTGGTGGAGTGAGCTTGGATCTGTGAGAGACAGGAATTGATGACACAAAGAGTCCTGCTGCTTAAACTTGCCCTGTGGATTGAAACACAGCGGAGTCAGGTCAGCAGTGGGGAGGGTGCTACTGTTTGGTTGGGGAAGCTGCAGTGGATTTCCTGGTCTTTGACACCTGTTTTCCGGTGGTGTCTGTTTCAGATAAAGCCCAAAGCGGTTGTGTTGGCTTGAGGGAGGCCACCAGAAGGCACAGGGAAGCCCCTCTGGTCGGCAGCAGGTGAACAGTTCCTGCCTGTGTCTAGATCTTTTTTTAAAGATTTATTTATTTATTTATTTGAAGGTCAGAGTTACAGAGACAGGAGAGAGATCCACAGAATCTTCCATCTGCTGGTTTGCTCTTCAAATGGCTGCAATGGCCAGGACTGGGCCAGGCTGAAGCCAGGAGCCAGGAGCTTCTTCCAGGTCTCACATGTGGGTGTCAGGGGCTCAAGAACATGGGCTGTCTTCCGCTGCTTTCCCAGGCATATTAGCAGGGAGCTGGATCAGGAGTGGAGCAGCCAGCACTGGAACCAGCGCCCATACAGGATACCAGCATCATAGTCTGGGTTAACCGGCTACGCCACAGTGCCTGCCCCTGGAAGCACTCGTTAAAGTGAGTGATGGTTCCAGAGACCCAGGGAAGCTGGGTGTCTCCCTGGGAGCTGAAATTGTAGGGTTGGCTCTCGGGCTGCAGTGTGAAGGCTGAGAACGTTTCCCAACAGGCTTTGGGTTTGCAGCATAGGGCTCCTGGGCGTGACATCCGGTGACGCTCGTTAGCCTGCCCTGCGGCAAACAGCTTGACAAATGGTAGTTGGGTTTTCACCAACCTGAGTTGGGAAAAGAAAAACTGGGAGTGGGTGGAGCGAGTGCTGCAGTTGTGTAGTGGGCTTTTCATTCGAGGCAGTGAGAACATTGCAGATGTCACATGCTTTTTCCCCTAACATTTTATTTTGAAAACCGCAAACTTACTAGTTTGTTTTCTTCCTTCCTTCCTTCCTTCCTTCCTTCCTTCCTTCCTTCCTTCCTTCCTTCCTTCCTTCCTTCCTTCCTTTGTCTTTCTGTCTGTCTGTCTTTCTGTCTGTCTGTCTTTCTTTCTGTCTGTCTTTCTGTCTTTCTTTCTGTCTTTCTTTCTGTCTTTCTTTCTGTCTTTCTGTCTTTCGACAGAGAGAAAGAAATCTGTCTGCTGGTTCACTCCCCAAATGGCCGCAACGGCTGGGGCTGGACCAGGCAGGAGCCAGGAGCTTCTTCATGGTCTCCCGCGTGGGTGCAGGGGCCCAAGGACTTGGAACATCTTCTGCTGCTTTCTCAGGTGCATTAGCAGGGAGCTGGATAGGAAGTGGAGCAGCTGGGACTCCAACTGGCACCCATGTGGGATGCTGGCATTACAGACTATAGCTTAACCTGCTGTGGCACAGTGCCAGCCCCAAGACTTCAAACTTTTTGTAAAGTTGTACAGCCAAATACTGTCTTTTTTTTTTTTTTTTTTTTTTTAAGATTTATTTATTTGGGGCCGGCGCCATGGCTCACTTGGTTAATCCTCTGCCTGAGGCACCAGCTTCCCATATAGGCACTGGGTTCTAGTCCAGTTGCTCCTCTCCCAGTCCAGCTCTCTGCTGTGGCCCAGGAGGGCAGTAGAAGATGGCCCAAGCCCTTGAGCCCCTGCACCAAGTGGGAGACCAGGAGGAAGCTCCTGCTTCCTGGCTTTGGATTGGTGCAGCGCCAGCCATGACGGCCATTTAGGGAGTGAACCGACGGAGGGAAGACCTTTCTCTCTGTCTCTCTCTTTAACTGTCTGTAACTCTACCTGTCAAAAAAAAAAAAAAAAAAAAGGATTTATTTATTTGAAAGTTACACACAAAAGGAGAGACAGAGAGGGCGAGAGAGAGGTCTTCCATCTGCTGTTGTTTTCTTTTTTTCTTTATTTTATTTTTTTATTATTATTTTTTTTTTTTGACAGGCAGAGTGCACAGTGAGAGAGAGACAGAGAGAAAAGTCTTCCTTTGCCATTGGTTCACCCTCCAATGGCCGCCGCGGCTGGCGCGCTGCGGCTGGCACACGGCACTGATCCGATGGCAGGAGCCAGGTGCTTACCCTGGTCTCCCATGGGGTGCAGGGCCCAAGTACTTGGGCCATCCTCCACTGCACTCCCTGGCCACAGCAGAGAGCTGGCCTGGAAGAGGGGCAACCGGACTAGAACCCGGTGTGCCGGCGCCGCAAGGCGGAGGATTAGCCTAGTGAGCCACGGCGCCGGCCTTTCTTTTTTTCTTTTGACAGAGTTAGACACTGAGAGACAGAGAAAGGTCTTCCTTACGTTGGTTCACCCCACAAATGGCTGCTGTGGCTGGAGCTACACCGATCCGAAGTCAGGAGCCAGGTGCTTCCTCCTGGTCTCCCATGCGGGTGCAGGGCCCAAGCACTTGGGCCATCCTCCACTGCCTTCCCGGGCCACAGCAGAGAGCTGGACTGGAAGAGGAGCATCCAGGACCAGAACCCAGCGCCTGTATGGGACGCCAGTGCTGCAGGCAGAGGATTAACCAAGTGAGCTACAGCGCCAGCCCCCATCTGCTGTTTTTACTTCCCAGTTGGCCGCAAGGGCCGGAGCTGTGCCGACCTGAAGCCAGGAGCCAGAGGCTTCCTCCAGGTCTTCCCATGTGGGTGCAGAAGCCTAAGGACTTGGGCCATTTTCTACTGCTTTCCCAGGCCATAGCAGAGAGCTGGATTGGAAGTGGAGCAGCTGGGACTCGAGCCAGCGCCCATATGGGATGCTGGCACTGCAGGCAGTGGCTTTGCCACAGCGCTGGCCCCACAGCCAAATACTTTTAACCTAGATCACCAGTTACCAACATCTCACCATGTTTCCCGTGCACAAGCATGTATATATATATATATATATATGCTTTTTGAACAATTTCAGAGTATGATGTGATTAATGACCCACCATACCATAGAATAATTATCACACTCAAATAAATTTTTTTTAAAGATTTATTTATTTACTTGAAAGAGTTATACAGAGAGAGGAGAGGGAGAGGAAGAGGGAGAGACAAAGAGGTCTTCCATCTGCTAGTTCACTCCCCAATTGGCCACAACGGCCAGAGCTGCTCTGATCTGAAGCCAGGAGCCAGGAACTTCCTCTGGGTCTCCCAGCAGGTACAGGGGCCCAAGGACTTGGGCCATCTTCTACTGCTTTCCCAGGTCATAGCAGAGAGCTTGACAGGAAGCGGAGTAGCCGGGTCTTGAACCGGCTCCCATATGGGGTGCCGGCACTGCAGGCGGTGGCTTTACCTGCTATGCCACAGCGCCAAACCCCACACTCAGAGAGCTTAATGCAGTACACACCTCTACTTCTGGCCATGCCCTCCTACCTGGACAGAATGCGTGAAGCAGTGGCATTGCAGCGTTTAGGCTACAGGTTGCAAGGACAGTGATCCCTGAGAGGGGAAGCAGATGCCGTGAGCCCAGCTGGAGGGATCGTAGCACACAATGTGGGGCAGGGAGAAGTTGCAGGAGTTGAAACTGGAAATCAGGAGGCCACGGTGGCTGGTGTTCAGAGGACGGAGCAACAGAGAGCAGAGCTGCGCAGGGTTCTTGACCCGCAGAAGGACCCTTGCAGCAGGTGTGTGAGGAAACCACCCAGAACCAGGGAAGGAACACCAAAAAGGAACAGGCAGAACTGTCCCCAGGCTCACAGAGGGCCAGCATAGTTGGTGTCCCCACAGCCAGATCGGGCAAACCCTGCAGTGTGTGGGCAGCACGTAGAGCATGCAGAAAACAGAGGGCCTCAGTGGCGAGGTCTGCCTAGCAACACTGAAAGGTGGAAAGGAACAAAAAGTTTAAGTAATCACGTCCCAGAACAAAACCCAAGGATATTTTAAGGAATACAGAAATTGTTCCCAACAAGTTAATATGCCCAATGTCTGGTTTCCAGTCAGAAAGTTCTAGGTATAGGGTCAGTGTTTAGTGTCTGCATTCCACATTGGAATACCTGGATATGATTCCCAGCTCCGACCGAGGCTCCAACTTCCTGCTCTTGCACACCCTGGGAGGCGGCCATAATGGCGGAAGTAGCTGGGTCCCTGCCACCCACAGGAAAGCCCTGGATCGAGCTCCCAGCTTCAGCCTGGCCCAACTCTGCCCATTACAGGCATGGAGGAGCGACCAGCAGATGGGACATCTCTCACTGTGTTTCTATCTCTATGTCTGTCTGTCTACCTCTCAAAAAAAAAAAAAAAAAACCTTAATAAAAATTACTAGATATAAGAAGAAAAAGGGAGAAACAGGTCCAAGATTCAGACAAATCCTTTTTTAAGATTTATTTATTTGAAAGGCAGTTACACAGGCCGGCGCCGCGGCTCACTAGGCTAATCCTCCGCCTAGCGGCGCCGGCACACCGGGTTCTAGTCCCGGTCGGGGCGCCGGATTCTGTCCCGGTTGCCCCTCTTCCAGGCCAGCCTTCTGCTGTGGCCAGGGAGTGCAGTGGAGGATGGCCCAGGTGCTTGGGCCCTGCACCCCATGGGAGACCAGGAAAAAGCACCTGGTTCCGGGGTCCTGCGATCGGATCAGCGCGGTGCGCCGGCCGCAGCGCGCTGGCCGCGGCGGCCATTGGAGGGTGAACCAACGGCAAAAGGAAGACCTTTCTCTCTGTCTCTCTCTCTCACTGTCCACTCTGCCTGTCAAAATAAAAAAAAATAATTTAAAATAAAATCATCGCCTCCTTAAGAATCATGGTTACGAAGACAGTGAGGTCTTCCATCTGTTGGTTCATTCCCCAAATGGCCACAACAGCTGAAGCTGGGCGCATGCAAAGGCAGGTGCCAGGAGCCTCTTCTGGGTCTCCCACATGGGTGCAGGGGCCCAAGCACTTGGGCCATTTTCTGCTGCTTTCTGAGGCCATAACAGAGTTGGATCAGAAGTGGAGCAGCTGGGACTTGAACCTGCACCCATATGGGAAAATGGATCTGCAGGTGGCGGCTTTACTCACTACGCCACTACGCCACAGCGCCGGCCCCAAACAAAGCCTCTGACAGCCACAGCTGTTAGTGGAGGAACGAGCATGGGAAGGAGAGCGAAAAGGTCTCGGACAAAACTCGGAGAGACTTAGGAGAACGCTGAAACAGGACGCGGGTTAGATGGGATGAACAGCAGTTTAGATGCTGTGGAAGAAGGTATCAGTGACCCTGTGACAGTGGAACTCCATGTGAAAACAAACCCCCAATCAGCGCGTACCAGTTACTGATCGCTGCTTCCACTCCAGATCCGCCTTTGGTCCTGCCTGCGCCGGTGGAGCCGGGCCCTGTGCGTCCCTGTCCTTGGCCATCCAGTGAGGTGGGAAGTGGCAGCGGCAGCCGCTCTCAGAGGCCCTCAGGCATTGTCACCCCTCTGAGCCTTCTCCAGGGCCCGGCCATCACGGCAGACAGAAGGCAGCCAAGCCGCAGCGCCCCAGTACTGAGCAAAAGGCTGTCGGGAATCCTACGGCCAGCAGACGCGTCTTTCAGATGCACCTGGAAGCCTAGAAGGCCCTCATTCAAGTGTCTGCGGTTTCCACATCACGTTCTTTTTTTTTAAATTTTTTTTATTTTTATTTTTTGACAGAGTGGACAGTGAGAGAGACAGAAAGGTCTTCCTTTGCCGTTGGTTCACCCTCCAATGGCCGCCGCGGCCGGCGCACCACGCTGATCCGATAGCAGGAGCCAGGTGCTTCTCCTGGTCTCCCATGGGGTGCAGGGCCCAAGGACTTGGACCACCCTCCACTGCACTCCCTGGCCACAGCAGAGAGCTGGCCTGGAAGAGGGGCAACTGGGACAGAATCCGGCGCCCCGACCGGGACTAGAACCCGGTGTGCCGGTGCCGCAAGGCGGAGGATTAGCCTAGTGAGCCACGGTGCCGGCCACATCACGTTCTTTATAGCAGATTTTTCCCTCCTGTCTGGGACCCAGTCGAAGCCCGGCCCAGCCTATTGGCACTGACATTTTTGGAGAGGTCGGGTCCGCTCTGCGGAATGCCGCTCGTTTTGGAGTTTGTGTACTTGTTCTTTCTTGATGAGGTTCAGTAAACATTTTTGGCAAGAACAGGGCATCAGTGACGTGTCCTGGAGCACTCCGTCGGGGGCGCGTGCTGTCTGTCCTGTGGTTGGCCGGGCCGTGTGAAGCTTGGTTGCTGTAAGGTGCCGCGTGCCGGGTTCCAGCTGGCTAAGGTGTGTTGTCACCTTTGCTGAGGGGCTTCGCCTTTGTGGAGTGATGTTCTGAGCCTTTGCAGTCTTTTTCCCCAGCAGGTTTTCATGGTCTTGGTGTCCATGGATTCTTGTGTAAATACCACTTTTAAAGAGATATTTGGGACAGCAGTGCTTTCTTTTTGAATTTGAAAGTGACAGTGGCAGTGTGGCATTCCTAAGCATTGTCCTTGGTTGTTCAGTTGGTGAGATCTGTGATGTCCCCACTTGGACTTTTTTTCTCCAATGTCAATCTGAGCCAGCCATGGGTGTTTACTCTAGGCAGAAGCCCAGCTCGCTTGTCAGCGTGGGAAGCTGGGACGTGGTTCGGGAAGCTGAGTCGTGGTGCTTCGGGAAGCTGGGGCGTGGTTCGGGAAGCTGGGGCGTGGTTCGGGAAGCTGGGGCGTGGTTCGGGAAGCTGGGCCGTGGTGGTTCGGGAAGCTGGGTCGCGGTGGTTGGGAAGCTGGGGCGTGGTGGTTCGGGAAGCTGGGCCGTGGTTCGGGAAGCTGGGACGTGGTTCGGGAAGCTGGGGCGTGGTGGTTGGGAAGCTGGGTCGCGGTGGTTGGGAAGCTGGGTCGCGGTGGTTGGGAAGCTGGGTCGCGGTGGTTGGGAAGCTGGGTCGCGGTGGTTGGGAAGCTGGGGCGTGGTGGTTGGGAAGCCTGATGCAAAATGTCTTAGTAACTCAGTGGCACCGACAGTGGGTCACCAGTGTTGCAGACTCCAGATGGCACGTGGGGCCTTGCCCTTGTGCCGGGGAGGTTTTGTAATGGATGCAGAGTGGCAGAACCCTTGCAGGCGCCCGCCTGTGTCTCCAGACTCCCGGAATAGGGCCTTGCACTTGTCTTCATGGCTTTCTCGTACTCTAAGGATCACACCTCTAAAACCCCCTTTCCTCTTGAGCAAAGAAAGAGGGGCCCCTGTGTCACCCCTGCAAACTGGCAGGCTCAACACACCTGAGGACTGCTGCGCATTTCAGCGTGAGGCTGATTTGGACCGGATGAATGGGAAAGGGCAGTGATGACCTTAAGTCGGGGGCAAATGAAATGTCGAGGTATAAATCCGCTAGAACCACTAGAACCAGCTTCTTACAGTACAGCACTTCTGGGCCCCCTGTGTGCCTTGCTGGCAGCCCCGGCCCTCTGAGGCAGACACACCCGCCCTGCCTGGACTGACCCTGGGCCGGGAGAGGGGCTCGCGAACCCCTGTGGTAGCACCTCTCCTTCCCTTGCACGGGAGACCAGGCCTTGGGCTGGGACAGGTCATTCCCAAGTGACAGGAAGGCACCTGGGGTGTGGTCTTGGTCTCTGCTTGTCCTGCCCAGTCCACTGGGAACTTGTTCTGGTCACATGTCCACCGTGCACGTGGGAGCGTTTGTCTTTATAGCCTCTGAGATCATCCTGGCACCAGATTCCCCGATCTGGTTTCCCTGGAGACTGGAAGAGAAGGGGCAAGGCCGGGCTGGGTGCCTCCAGGTTCTCAGCAGAAAACGCAGAACTCCCCACGGAAGCTTTGTGCTTCCAGGAGCCCTCTCCCAGGCAAGGCTCAGGCTGCCCCGATCGTGAGCTGAACTCCGCAGAGCAGTCCTAAGGAGGGGTGAGCAGGAGCGGCAGGGGAGGGGTGGTCCTGCTGAGCCTACTCACTTGATGTGCTGCAGCCCGTGGTTTCCGGACAGTGCCGTGGCCACACAGATCGCCCCGTCCATGCCCAGGGAGTTCTCCTGCAGGCTAGGCAGAGAACAGATGGCCCGGTGAGCGCTGGGACAGTCCAGCCCCGCAGGAGGCCACGCTGCTGCGTGTCCTGGGGGCCGCCGAGGGGCAGGCTCTGCCGGCTGACTTGTCCGCAGGCACCACCACAGCCACCCCACTGGGGATCGTCAGTGCCGTTGTGAAGTGGCTGACTTGGGAGTTCAGCCCGTCAGCTGCAGCACGTGCACCTGACAGCAGTCCTGGGTGCTCCTAGCGTGGCATCCCACGGGAAGAGAAGAGCAGCAGGGGCGTCTGCTGCCCTGGGACGCACGCGGGCAGTCGCTGAGGCCACTTACTTGAGTCTCCGGAGGCTTGAGTTTACCTTCAAGGCCTTTGCCAGGGCTTTGGCTCCGGCCACCCCGATGGCATTCCCTCTTAGGCTGCAAGGAAAGACAGGGGACCTGAGGCTCGGGGCCAGGCCGAGGGGGGTCATCGCTGCCTCTTTGGAAGGGTGACGGGTTACTTGGGCTCCAGCAATGCCAGGAGGTGAGGATTGCTCTGTCCTCACTCCCCGGTGGCTGCAGAGTTGGATGTGGGGTGTCGGGACTTTGAAGGATGGGTGCAGTTGGCACTCTGTGGGAGCCCCCTCCTCCTCTTCTCTTCCAAAAAAAGGAGAAGCTGAGCCGAAACAGGAGAGACAGTGCTTGCACCCTGCAGGTCCCTGGTCCAACTCTGTGCCATAAACCCTGGAGAGCCACACCTGAGAGCCTCACAAAGCCTCCCTCCCTGCCCGGGAGTCCCCTCAGCGGGGCAAGGCCACCCCCGAGAGCAGGAACTTGGCAAGAGAAGGGAAAGCCACCGTGACTCCAGGCGAGTGGGGACCGTCGCTGGGGCCTTAAGTGGAAGTCATTAAGTTGCTCAGAGTTCCCCTCATCTTTTGATTTGGAATCCGCAGCTTGGTTCCTTTGAGCCAAAGGCTATGTCTGGAGGCAGGAGTACTTACTCAAGGATCTCCAAGGTTCTGTTCACAGCCAGGGCCTCCCCAAGTGCCTGGGCCCCCCGGGTACCAATGGAGGCCACCTGGAGACTGAGAAGAGGTGCAGTGGTGCTTGCCACAGCCCCACGCCTGCCTAGGCCCACAAACTCTCCCTTAACTTAGGGCTGACGAGAGAAATAGCACAAAGAAGTGTTGGCCCACGATCTCTCCCAGGAATGCACCTCCCACCTACAGGGTCCCGTGCCCAGGACATCTGCGGGCTACACATAAGGAAGTGAGTCTCCTGGGAAGCGTGAGGTAGGGAGGGGACGCTCATCGCCGTACCCTTAATGCTTTCTGGGTTTGATTCCCTGATTGCTAATCTATCAGTATAATGTTGATATTTCCTATAATAATATTAGAAAAATTAAACACCAGTTCCTTGGGGTTGGCATGAGAGGCCAGCCTCCCGGGCTGCCATGCATGACGGGACTTACTAGAGGGCCGTGAGTGCCGTGTTCACCTTCAGAGAGCCAGCCACCGCTGAGGCACCTTCGTCCCCAATGGCATTTTCCTGTAGACTGAACACGGAGTTGGAGCTGTTTGGTGCCTGCGCACAGGCCAGCACCCCCACAGGAACTGCCCAGCGTGGGCCTCCCAGGTTCCTTTAGACACAGGCCAGCCAGAGACACGCTCCCAGGGTCACTCTGGGGACCCTCCCGGCTGCCCTTGTCACGCCTGCCTGCCCACACGTGCCCTGGGGGGTGCGACTCCATGCAGGGTGTCTGGGGGCTGCATGAATCGGAACCTTGGCAGGCAGGCAAGGAAAAGGACTCAGGGAGACTGTCGGCAAGGGTTCGGGCCAAAAAGGGTGCGGCTTTCAAAACCCACCAGAAACAACCTGAAGCCCATCCCTGGGCCACTGCTGCCAGCAGCATTCTGTAACCTCTATTTATTTACTTATTCTTCCTCTCCCTTCTAAGTCACAGGGCCTTGGGGCAGAAAATGAGGGTAGTTGTGGTGGACACTGGCTTTTAGTAGACAAATATTTGAGTGTGCATTGTGCAAGGGGTGTGCATGGCAGCAGGTAGAAAGACGTGATTAAGTGAGCAGCCGTGAGAGGCCAAGCCAGACTGCCGGGAAAACCAGCAGGGCTCCTCCCCAGTGGACACAGAACACTGCCCAGGAGAAACTGGTCAAAACCAACCCCCAAAGGATGAGGCCCAGGAGGGCCCTGCAGAAATGCGAGTGGTTAAGAACAGGGTTTGGGGGGGCCGGTGCTGTGGTGCAGTGTGTTAACACCCGGCCTGAAGTGCCGGCATCCCATGTGGTCACCAATTCTAGTCCTGGCTGCTCCACTTCTGACCCAGCGCTCTGCTATGGCCTGGGATAGCAGTGGAAGATGGCGCAAGTCCTTCGGCCCCTGCACATGGGAGACCCAGAAGAAGCTCCTGGCTCCTGGCTTCAGGTTGGTGCAGCTCCGGCTGTTGCGGACAATTGGGGAGTGAACCATCAGGTGGAAGACCTCGCTCTCTGCCTCTATCTGTCTGTGTAACTCTGTCTTTCAAATAAATAAAATAAATCTTTAAAAAAAAAAACAAAAACAGGGTTTGGGAGGTGTAAAGTTGATTCTTCGGGGCCTTCTGAGCCATACAGGAGGCTTGCACTTCCCCTGTAGTACCAGGCAGCCATTCAAGGATCTCACCCAGACAGGGATAAGTAGGCGCTTTGCAAAGATCTCTGGCCAGCAGTGTGGGGTAAGGGGTGGAGGGGGCTGGGTGGGGAGACTGCTGAGTGATGCAGGTCTAGATGGTAGCCACGGGGATCAAGAGAACCAGGTGGGTGGTGAGACCCTGGAGGGAGCATCAGCAGGACTTGGAGAACAGGGAGTGGGGGGTAAGGGGCAAGCCAAAAGCAGGTGAGAGAGGCAAACAAACCGTAGTGCTGGGGGTCCCCAGGGATGGAGCTCCAGGGGCTTCTGGGGCCTGGACCATCACTGGAGTCCCCAGTTGTCCCTAAGGAGAAGGTGGCCTGGGACGGCACCCTGGGGGAGCCCCAGTGTTCAGGCAGAAGCCAAGCAGAAGAAAAGCATGTGGAGATCCAGCCAGAAAGGGGATGTCCTAGAAGCTGGAGCAGCCTGAGTGGACCCAGCGTCCACGGGCAGGGTGAACGGGTAACTAACACCTGTGTGTGTGTCTGTGCGGCAGAATGTAGTTTAGCCACAAAAAGGAAGGAAGTACACTGCAACGTGGCTGGTCCCGGGAGACCATGTGGCTGTGTCGCTGGAGACAGTGTCCATTAGTGGTTGCCATGGTGGGGGGTGGGGAGAATGGAAAGGGAATGCTGAGTATGGGGTTTCCTTTCGATTGTTAGAATATGCTAGAAACTGGTGCATGGTAGACTTCCAATAGGTAGACTACTATGCTTTGTGGAGTATATTTTAATGACCCTCTTGGATTTTTTAAAAAAGTTGACGAGGACCTGATCATGCCTGCTGACCTCAGGGCAGGGAGGCTGAGCCCTGGCCTGGCCTGGCCAGCCCTGGGTTCTCAGGTCCCCCTGCCCGCCCCGCCCCTGCAGCCCCTGTGGGTGGCACTTACTCTAAGCTGGTCAGGCTCCTGTTGAGCTGTAGAGCTCGCCCGAGGGCCCTGGCAGCACCGGCCTGGATGAAGTTCCACTGCAGGCTGGGCAGACAGACAGGCATGACCGCATGGCCTGTGCAGAGCCCAGCAGGGTCTGATGGTGACTCCTGCAGCCCTCCTCACAGGGGGTCCGAGGTGGCCACAGGGACAGACCCACAAGGTGACTCTAAGTGGCCCTTGCATAAGGCCTGGGACCCCTGAGGCCCAGCCTGCTACGTGGTTGGGTGCGGCCTGTACAGACGGCATGGGCCCCGGAGACCGTTGAAGCTTGAGGGTCGGGGGGAGCCCAGAGGCAGGCCTGCACAGAGTTGGTGTGCGTGGATATGGCCCTCGGCTCTGTGGAAGGGGACGGGGTAGGGTGAGGCCATGGACTCACTGCAGAGACCTGAGGGCACGGTTTCCTCCCACTGCGACTGCGATGGCCTGGGCGCCCTGGTCCTGGAGCAGGTTGGCTGTCAGGCTGCGGGGGAGTGGGGCAAATGAGTGAGAGCTGGCCTGAAGGAAGCCCCCTGTCCTCTGTCACCAGGGCGCTCAGGTCACTCCCCCCGTCCCGAGGGCCACATGGGGTCTGTGCCAATGTTACGAGCTGTGGAGCTCTGGTGAGCCAGGCACAGGCGCTGGAGCACTGTTCTGAGCCATCAACAACCTGGGGCAGGCACGGCCAGGATCTACAGAACTGCCCGGGGCACTCACTGCCCAGTGGCATGGTGCCACACTGACTCCAGGAGGCCCCTCCCACATGCTTGTCCCTCACCCGGGCTATGGCAGGCTCAGCATCACACCGTCCGCCCCCTTGTGTCACTCGTCATGGGAGCCGGGGCATGTGTCAGGGATGCCACCAGACACTAGGTCTACAACCCCTTCCCAGCTCGGTCCTCCTCCAGTCCTGTGACATGGCCAGGGTGTGGAGAGCCTAGGCCACTGGGGTGGCCCCTGTTAGGACGGTGGTGGTTCAGGCCCCGGGCATCACTAGCCCTAGGAAGCGGAGTTAGCCCCGTCCCGGCACGTACTCCAGGTTCTCCAAGGTGCTGTTGGTGCAGAGCGCGTGAGCCAGAGCCTGGGCACCCTCTGGGCTGATGGAGTTCTCACGCAGGCTGCGGGGGAGAGAAGGCCCTGAGCTTGTGCCGGGGCAGGTGAGGCCTCTGGCAGGAAGCAGGCCCAGGCGTCCAGGCTGGTGCACCCCAGGCCTGCTGTGCAGTCTGGGCTGGGTGAGCCAGGCTCCCACAGCTGCCAGTCATGTGTCCCCACGTCAGGACCGTCGGCCACGCAGGAACATCCAGGAGGAAGCAGGTAGGACAACAGTGCCCCAGAGGCGCCAACAGGTGAGCACGCCGGGTACCTGATGGACTTGCGAATGGGCAGAGAGCCGCAGAGCAGCCGCACTGAGGGCTGCAGTGGACCCCTGCCCTCCTGAGGGAGCAGGAACAGGGATGGGGTTCAGGCTCCAGGCCCGAGCCTGCCTCAACCACAGATTTCCTAGGGCAGCTTCCCAGCCCCAGCCTTGCCTTCCCAGCCCTGACGCCTCAGCAGAGTGAGCACTGGTCAGAGGGCACGCTGGCCGGGAGGGCGGGGCTTACCTGAGGCGGAGGAGGGTCTGGTTGGCACCCAGGGCCTCTGTCAGTGCTGCCACTCCCACGTCGCTGATGGAGTTGCTCTGCAGGCTGCGGGCAGAGGAGGGCACCCTTGGCCTGGCTGTCCAGCCCGGGACCACAGGCCCTGGCTCAGCAGAGTCGGGGGACCCTGGGGACAAGCACCTCGACTCTGCTCCTCTGCTCATCCCTGCTTCCTTTCCCATCCCCCCACCTTCTAGCCCCTGCCGAGTCAGGCAAGTGGGTGTAGTGGGAGAGCCCCAACGTTTAGCCTCTGCCTTGGCACAGAGGGCTCTGAACAGGCTCAGAGTGGGGCATGTTGGCTCTGCGGCCCCGAGAAAGTGCTCAGCAGAGTGTCCCCAGAAGGGGGAGCCCGGGTCCCCACCCCCAAAGGCCAGCTTTGTCTTCAGCGGCTGCCGCCTGCCCTCAGGGAGTTTGGAGCTTGTCACTCAGGTCCCCAGGGCCAGCCCCACTCCTGCCATGTGCTGGATGGAGAACCCCGGGGGAACCGTCACCACGGTCAGGCAGACTCACTCCAGGCTCTCCAGGCCCTGGTTCACCTTCAGCGCCTCTGCCAGGGCTTTGGCACCTGCATCGCCTATGCTGTTACTGGAGAACCTGCAAGAGACATGGTGAGTTTGCCTCTTGGGGCAGCTGGGCAGGGCTGGGCCTGGGGATCAGGGCCCAGGGGAGCCCTCGGGGGAGGCTGTCCCTGCTTTCTCAAGGGTGATCAGTGTGCAGCTTGTCCTGCCTGAGACTTGTTGACCCAGTCTCTGAAGTGACCACCTGCTGCCTGCCTGTCAGTGTTCAAGTGACAAAGCACTCCTGACTCTGGCAGGGGAGGGGCAGGGCAGGGGCAGGGGCAGGGGCAGGGGCAGCAGCAGCCCTTTGGTGAGAGGCATTTGTGATACTTTAAGGAACATAGCCTGGGCTTGCTGTTTTATTGAGTGCTTTGGAGTCCAAAGCCAGCAATCCTGAACCCACAGTCTGTCCATCATCCATCCCTCCCTCCCCACCTCCAGTCACCCACACATCCATCTCTCCATCCCTCCCTCCTCCAGTCACCCACACATCCATCCTTCCCTCCCTCTCTCCCTCCCTCCATTCATTCATCCATCCATCCATCCCACACATCCATCATGCCTCCCTCCCTCCTTCCCTCCCTCCCTCCCTCCATCCCACATCCATCTCTCCATGCCTTCCTCCCTCCAGTCACTCACACATCCATCCTTCCCTCCCTACCTCCCTCCATCCATCCATCCATCCATCCCTCCCTCCCTCCAGTCACCCACACATCCATCATGCCTCCCTCCCTCCATCCCACACATCCACACATCCATCCATCCCTCCCTCCCTCCCTCCCTCCCTCCAGTCACCCACACATCCATCCCTCCCTCCCTCCAGTCACCCACACATCCATCGGTCCATCCCTCCCTCCAGTCACCCACTCATCCATCCATCCCTCCCTCCCTCCAGTCACCCACACATCCATCCTTCCCTCCCTCCATCCAGTCACCCACACATCCATCCATCCCCCCTCCCTCCAGTCACCCACACATCCACCTCTGCATGCATCCGCCCATCCACTCCTCCGTGCGCCCATGCGGCCGTCCATGCTCACAACCACTAGCGATGGGCGGGCGTGGTGCTGGGCCCTCCCGCGTTTCTCACACGAGCTCCTTCAGGCTCCTGTTGTGCTTCAGGGCGTCGGCCATCCGCTGGGCTCCCGCAGGCCCGATGCTGTTCTTCTGCAGGCTGTGGGGGTGAGAGGGGCCCTTCAGCAAAGTGGGCTGCGGTTCAGGGTGAGAGTTGGAGGCAGCTCTGGGGCCCCCTCTGTTTGTCACAGCAGCGGGGGAGGGCTCTCCAAGAAGGGTGTGCGGATGGTCGCCCAAGTGATGCTGTACATGGATGTGATGTCAAGGGAGGCTGAGAGGCGCCGGCAGCTGCGGCCTCCTCTATAAGGGTCCGAAAAGCAGAGCCCAGCGATCTCCCAAGCGTGGACTTCACGGTCACGTCCGGCTGTCCCCAACAGCCTGCCTTCCTCACGGCTCCCTCTCCCCAGGGAGGTGCTGGAGAACCTGCTTCCTCTTCTACTGAGTCTGATGGAGGGGAAGGGGCAGGAGGACCCCACACTCACCCTAGGGGCAGGTAGGACACGCCCTCCCCGTGAGGCTAAAAAGAGACCCTGGCTCCAAAAAGGAAAAGGTCCCTGCCCCCACCCCACCCCTTAGAGTGTTTCCTTGAGAAGATCTGAGTCCACCTCCTTCTGTCCTTTGAGATGCCTTAAGCCGGGGCTGTCTGTGAAAGACTATCACTGAAGACAGGTCCTGACGGGGAATTAGTGGGCACCTGGCTGCACAGGTACCTGCTTGTCATACAGGCGGGAGAAGTTTCATTTTCCCTTTGCGTGAAGGCAAATACGGCACACAGATGGCTACCCCCAATTAGGGAATTTAGGATTGACCGTGTGACAAATGGTGCTGTGAGGTCCTCTTCTTGAGGACAGGTTGAATGCAGTGGGCGGGCTGTGTCTGCTGGGCCGTGGGGCAGTGGTTTCTTTCTGTCTTGCAGCCTGATGGGCACTCTGCCTGCGAGGCACAGCTCAGCCAGCTCAGTGCTTGCGAGCGGTGTCATTGTGTATTGGGTCTGTGTTTGCAGGGAGGATTTCTGGGTTGGTAAGCGGTTGCATTTTTAATTACTCCCCCAACACCTGTTCTCTGGAAAAGCAGCGGGCATCATTTTCCCAGGTGCCATCCAGGTGGGTCAGAAGCACCTCAAGACTCAGCCCACCTATTTCTCCTAGCAGGAAACAGAGCAATCCTTGGAGAAGGGGGAGGGAGCGGGCAGGGAGAGGAGGTGTGTCCACTCACTGCAGTACAGAGAGCGTCCTGTTGGAGGCCAGGGCCTCAGCCACGGACCTGGCGCCATCATCCCTGATCGTGTTGCCCTGGAGGCTGCAGAGGCGGAAGGTGCATCAGTGATGAGGCAAGGGAGGGCGCCTGGCAGCGGCCTGGACCCCGGCCACACAGGGCACCTCCCTGGGGCACGATGCCCCGAGTCACCGAGGCACCGGGAGACTTGCTTAGGGTGCACGGTCCCTGCTACCCAGTGGATGGGAGCCAGTAGTCCTCACCCGCCATTTCGAACCCATCCCTTCCATGGTGGCAGCTGAGGAGAGGGCTCTCTGGGGACGGCAGGGCAGGGACCAGGGGACACGTACCTCAGAGAGGTCAGGGTGCGGTTAATCTTCAGAGCGTCTGCCAGGGCCTTAGCCCCTTGTGACCCAATGGAGTTACTGCGCAGGCTGCCATGAGGGACGAGAGACGTGACCTCCAGGGAGGGATGGAGGGACGGAAGCTTCCGCCTAACCCTGAAGTCTGACCCTCCGAGGGAGTGTGTGGGGGTCAGGGCTTCACTCCTGGTGGAACCAGGCCGAGAGCCTCACAGAGTGAACAGGAAGGAGTTCCGGAGAAGGCCCCGGGCGATGGGGAGAGGGAGGCAGGACTGCTGGCCCAGTGGGCGTGGGCCAGGCATGGGGGTGAGGAGAAGCAGCCACAGGTGCCCTGGGTGAGGCTCTGCGGCTGCCCAGCTGCCCTTCTAGTCACCCCCCAGGGCGGGTGTCAAGGCTGTGGCCCCCTGATTCTGACTCCTACTAGGAGCCCGGGGACCTTGGGACCTGTCCTAAATGGAGTGCCATGCAGAGGCTCCCAGCACTGCCTACGCGGGCCCACAGTTCTTCCTACTTACTCCAGAGCGGTCAGGCTTCTGTTGACCAGGAGGGATCTGGCCAGAGCTTTGGCCCCTTTGTTGCTGATCAGGTTCTCAGCCAGGCTGCCCAAGGAAGGAGAGAAAAGTGGTGAATTCAGGCAGCAAGTCTCCTTGCCTCTTCCTCAACACCATGCCCATGGTTCAGGCTGCTAAGTCTTCCCAGCATCACCAGGGCCTGGACATGGGGGAGGGCAGGTGACCGCTAAGGCAGATGCCTTGGGGCTGGGCAAGGTCAGGCCAGAGTGGGATGGACAGATCTTCACTCTGACGGAGGGTTCTAGGAAAAAATCAGCCAGAACCCAGCTCCCCAGTTTTCACCAACAGCACAGCACTGTGGAAGGGCAGTTGCCGGAGCCAGCCGTGTTGGTCCTGGCCAGTGGTGCTTTGGTGCACTGGGCCTCAGGGAAAGCCAAGCACAAAAGCAGCGATCCATGGCCTTGGCCGGTTTCCCCAGTGCGTGCATTTCCAGCATTGCCAATCTGCAGAATTCCTGAAGTTAAGCTGACAGCTGAGTGCACGAGCCAGCATGGACTGGTTCCAGCCCATCGCTGCCCCTGGCCTCCTCGCCAGGACAAGACAGCAAGTAGCAGGTTTCCAGCAAAACCAGCATTCACAAAAGCACACCTGTGTGTGTCTGAAAGGCTGCCTCCAGCAGAATGCTGGTGGTCGCCTTAACCTTGCTTCCCGTGTCCCGGTTCAGGAATGACCCCGTGGAGGCTCTCGGCGGTTAGGTAGGCTTCCAGCCCTGAGGTGTTTGGCTGGCTGGAATCCCCAGGCTGGCACTCCCCAAGCTATGTTCCAAGAGCCCCTCGGGATCCTTGGGAAGGCGTTAAGGGCCAGCAGGGGGCTTGGGCTCTGGGATTCCCACATCTCCTTCCAATCCTAACAGCACCCTTTTGTCTCTCGTACTGACCGGGGTTCTGCTGGGGTACATTACTTTCTAAAATGGTTCTATTGGTTTTAAAAAGTTTTTAGCCCATTCATCCAAGGCCACTTTCTGTGAGTGTCCTCAAATTCTAGGGAGCCCCTGCCTGTCTCCCCAGGACCTGTCTGATATTCTGTGAGTCGGATTTCGGGAGCAGCCGAGTCGTCTTCTGCAGCACGCCACACAGCGGGGTGGCATCAAGGACCAGCGTGGCCAGGTGGAGAAGGACACGTGGCCAGGAAGAAGCACTTGGCCTTGCTCTGAGTGATTCGAGCAGCGCCAGCCCCTGGGAGGTGAGACTAAAGGCCGCTGCTTCACCCTCTGCCGAGAGCGCTAGAGGCTGGCACGCTGGAAGGTTGTGATCAGTTTTCTGTCGTGGGGGTTGTGTCTTGGTCTTTCATTCCCAAGACTAAGGTAATCCTGACCACAGTGGGCCCCTCGTGGGCTGCCTCCCCTGCGCCTGGGCCACTAGAGCCCTTTGAGCTCATTACAGCCTCACAAGGACCCTGAGAGGTAGCAGGCAGTGAAGGATTAACCTTGAACCAAGGACAGTTTGGACCCTGCATCGCCCCCAGCCCCCAGGAAGTCCTGGCTGGCAGGAATGTCTGCCTGAGGCTTGGGCTGGCTGGCTGGTTTACCCAAGATGGGGTTTATGGCGGGGGTCTCCGGCCACTTGGTAGCCTCTTGACCTCTGCTGGGGTGGAGGCCGAAGGCTCAGGTGAGCCTGCGGGCAGTTGGCTATGCCAGTGAAATGCTCTGGACCAGGGCTCGCTGTCATCACACGTCAGTGCTGGAGTGGATGGCCGGAAGCGTGTGTCTGGCCTCTCTCCTGATCTTACTCCGCATCCTTTAAGTGTAGCGAACCCTGATCAGGACTATAATGGTTTGGCATTCTGAGTCCTAGGGAATCGCTGACCCTGCACCTGGGCGTAAGCACCCCCAAACCCACAGGGATGCCCCCGTGGGCATCGTGGCTATGGAAATCATGGCTGGCACCCCACTGGCACATGTGGTACCCGGAGACACGCCTTGTGGGCACCATAGCACCTGCCCCTGCCAGGCCCTTCTTTCTCCCTACAGGTGAGGAGCCCCTTCCGGAATGGGTGGAACAGCATCCTGAGCCGCACGCTTCCCAGACGCCTCCCCTCAAGGGTCCCCCAGCCAGAGAGCAGAGGGGACACTGAGAAGGGACAGGTGAGCAGCCTGGGCGGGGCTCCCGGGTCAGGTACCTCATCTTCTGGATGCGACAGTCCTTCCCACTCAGCATGCTGCCCAGCAGCTCCATCACGGGGTCCTGGAACTGGTTGTTGTCCAGCCTGGCCAGGGGGAAGAGGGCTGTGACAGCGAAGGGTCCCCCGCCCATGGGAGGCCATGGACACACCCTCTGCCTCCTCTCCATCCCACCGCAGTACCACAGCCGTGGCTCCGAGGTCCGTGCTCGGCAGCCCCCATGCCCAGGCCTAGCCTATGCAGGTGAACTCCAAGGCCCGGTGCCCCCGAGCCTCACGGTCCCTACCTGGAGCAGTGTCCTCCGTGGGCGGCAGCCCTAGCAACCAGCACGCCTCACGCCTGTGCGCAACACTCTCTGCTGGCTCTCCTACGTCTGAGGACACCTGAGCTGCTCTCGGGCCCTCAGTGAGTCTCGTCCCATACCCTGTCTGGCCTCTCTCTCCTTGATCTTAACTCTGAGTCCTTTAAGTGTAGCGAACCCTGAGCATGACTGTAACGGTTTGGCGATCTGAGTCGTCCTGGGGAATCGTTGACCCTGCACCTGGGCGTAAGCACCCCCAAACTCGCCCGGAGCAGAGCATGGCGCATAGGGTGCAGCTTACGTCAGCAGTGGATGGTTCAGAGGGTGCGGTGGGTTGAATTATGACCCCAGAACGGTGTGTTGAAGTCCTAACCCTGAAAATGTGGTCTTATTTGGAAATAGGGCGATTGCCTTGGAGGGAGTGTGTCGAGTCCCTCTGCTGCCTCTGTGCCCACCCCCCACCTTGTGCCCACCTGAGGCTCTCGCAGTAGAGCAGCTGGGGCAGCAGGCTCTGGAGGACACCCTGGCTGAGGCACAGGGACAGGTTGGCTTCCTGGGCACAGGCGTCAGACACCTGCAGCAGGTAGGCCAGGGCAGCGCGGTGTGAGGGGCTGCTCAACCCAGCCAGGGCCCCGCGCTCCATGGCCTCCTGCACGCTGTGGGCCAGCTCCGTGCACTGCAGCTCGTGTAGACAGCGCAGGACGTTCACCGCCTGGGCACCGACGGCAGCTCCGGGGCGCAGGCAGCCCTGCAGGAGCTCGGCTGCCTGTGCCCGGTAGCTCTCGTGCTCCCCTGGGGCCAGCAGGGAGCCGGCCAGCAGCGCGTTGACCCTGGGCGACAAGAGGCCCGAGAGGAAGCGCAGGAACACGTCTAGCCGGCCGTCCTCGGCCTGCATGGCCCGCTGGGCCGCGCTCCGGAAGTGTGTGAGGAAGCCCAGCCGGGGCCAGGACACGCCACTCTCGGTGAAGAGGTCGAAGATGGCCCTCTTGGACGCACCGTAGTAGTAGGCGGCCGCCACGAACTCCTGCAGGGACAGGTGGCCGAAGCAGTAGGCAGCCGAGGAGGCCAGCGTCTCCTCGCGCTGCAGGAAGCAGCTGCACAGGGCCCCCTGCAACAGAGCCAGGTCCACACCGAGCGCCTTCATGTCCTGCTCGTAGAACACGTACTTCTTCTTCACCAGCCCGTGGAAGGCCAGCCGGCCCAGGGTCCCCACCAGCCTGCGGCTGCCCTGGGCCAGCTGCTCGATCCGAGGGCTGGCCTTGCCCTTGTCCTGCCCCTCCCTGCTCAGGGCCATCCTAAAGTACCAAGCATAAAGCTCAGCCAGGGTCCTGGGAGGCCACGGCGCTGCGTCCTGGCACGCCAGCCTGCTGCGGCGTGAGTGGCCCAGCGCCGCACCCACGAGCTGGCAGAAGGCCGGCACGGCGCACATGAGGTACAGCGCCTGGTTGGCCCGCACCTGGCTCAGGACCCAGCCCGGCAGGCTCTGGTCCTCAGGGAACATCTGCTGCAGACACTCCTCCATCTCCGGCTGCGTGAAGCCCCGGATCTCCGTCATCCGGTCCACCAGGCCGCCCGGGATTTGGCCGGCGGCACCGGGCCGGGACGTGATCCAGACAGAGACTTCTGGAAAGAGATTGCCTCGGATGATGTTGGTGATCAGGTGGTCCACCTGGATCTCCTTCTTAGGGTCCGTGCAAGCCACGGTGTTGGAGAAGTCCAGGGGCGTCTTGCACTCATCCAAGCCATCCAGGATGAGAAGGACCCTGGCTGGGGCCGCCACAGCCAGCCCGGACTCCCCGATGTGCGGAAAGGCAGAGCAGATAAGCCTGTCCACGCACAGCTTCTCGTAGGTGTTGAGGTCCCGGAAGGTCAGGGGCAGCACCAGCGAGAAGTCCTTGCCCACCTGCCCCCCGGCCCAGAGGCGAACAAAGTGCCTCACCAGGGTGGTCTTGCCCATGCCCGCCACCCCGACAGTGATGGAGACGCGGGGCGGGATGGACACCCGGGACAGGGGCAGGAACAGCCTGTCCAGGGGGATGGTCCTGGCGGGTCGCTGGCCCCCGCGGGTGGTCTCCACCTGCGTGAAGTCGTGCTCCCTCAGCTGCAGGTCTGTCAGGCCCTCCACCAGCAGGAGGCTGGTCAGTCGGGGCGGGGGGCCACCTGGCTCTGGGCCACCTCCTGCCCGGCTCAGCAGGGCCTCGCGGTGCCTCTGTAGCCGCAGCTCTGCCAGACACAGGCCACAGGGGAAGGTGGGTGAGGAGGGGGTGGGCCGGGAGAGGGCCCAAGCTCCCCCCTGCCTGCCCTGCTGTTACCATGGGTCCCCAGCAGGGAGTCCGGCATCCTGCTGGGGGCCTGCAGGGCCTGAGGGCCTTGGCTGCCCTTCCCGGCCAGCAGGTCCACGAGGGCTTTCACCTGCTCAGCTGGGGAGCTGCTGCCTGGGCCCTGGCCAGGCTCCCCACCCATCCGTGTTTCCAGCTTCCTCATCGGGTCCAGGACTGTGACCAGGAGCTGTGAAGATGAGGACAGGGCCCGGATCTGCTGCCTGCCGCACCTCTGTCCAGCAGCCCAGGACAGGAGAGTGAGCCTCCACGAAGGGGCTGGGAAGCCCCTTCCTCCTTCCCCAGCCCTCCAAGAGGGGCCGGGAGGACCATTTGCTGCTGGAAGGTGAGAACAGCTGTGGGGACGCAGGGGCTGAGTGGGTAAGAACGGGGGTTCTGGGCTCAGACCGTGGGTCTGCCACTTACCGCCTGGGTGACCCTGGGTGGGCTACATCTCCTCTCTTCACCTGAGCGTCCTCACTGGTGACCTGGAAGTGGTGTGAGGTTAGAGAGGTCTGCACAAAAGGGAGGAACAACAACAAAAATAGTGTGGGAAGTATACACGCTGCACAGCCCCAGCTAGGTGGTGTTCTGGAAGGGGAAAGCACAGAGTGGGGAGGCAGGGGAACGGTCATCTGTTGCCAGGGCTGGGGTGGGGGAAGACTCAGTGGAGCCCAGAGGGTGCTTTGGGTCGTGACACTTTGCTAATGTTGTCATGGTGGGCGTGTGTCACGGTAGACGCCTGTCACGGTAGATGTGTGTCACGGTATCCTGGTAGATGCCTGTCACTGTGGGCGTGTGTTGTTGTACATACGTTCAAAGCCACAGATCTCCCGGCACCAAGAGTGAACCCAGATGTCAGCTGTGGACTCTGGGTGGTCGAGACCTGCCGTGGTTGATTGGTGGTGACAACAGACCACGTGGTGGGGTGTGAAGGTGGAGGAGGCTGTGGGTGACAGGCGGGGGCTATGTGGGAGCTCTCTGTACTTTCCCATCTGTTTTCCTGTAAACCCAAAACTTCCCTGAAAGGTAAAATCTAAAGGGGCGTTTAGCTGAGCGGTTAAGACGCCTGCATCCCACATCAGAGCACTTGAGTTTGATTCCCGACTCCAGCTTCCTGCCAGGGCAGAGCCTGGGAGGCAGCAGCGAGGCTCAAGATGGAGTCCCTGCATCCAATGGGAGACGCGAGGGCTCGAGATTGAGTCCCCGTGTCCAATGGGAGACAACGTGGCTTTGGTTCTCAGTTCCAGACTTCAGCCCAGCTCAGCCCTGGCCGTTGCAGGCATTTGGTGAGTGAACCAGCAGATGGGAGCGAGCTCTACTTGCTCTCTGTTCTCTTGTTCCCTCTCTGTCTCAAAAAAAAAAAAAAAAAGAGAGAGAGAGAGAGAAAAGCTAAACAGAAACAAAGCAAGGAGGAAAAAGGGGCTGGGCTGGGGTGGGCTTCTCTGTTTTCCGGGCTCTGCAGAAGACACCATGAGGCGGAACCACCCCCACTCCCAACCCCTTGTCCCGCCTGTCACATTCCTTTGCCTCCTGTGGCCAAAGCTGGCCACACCCTCTGCAGCTCTTGGCAACAAGGTAGACAAGGAAGACCCTGAGCCCTCCTCGCTGCTTCTGACCTGGGCCCGGCCCCAGCAGCCCCTCAGGGCATCCCAGGGACTCAGGGACTGGGGCTCAGCCGTCCACGTCCAGGGGCTCAGCTGTCCACGTCCACCGTGTGTGCTACTAGGAGAGAAAGCACCCTGTGGTCTCTCTTGAGATCCTTTAGTACAATGTTACATTTCTGCTCATCTAGATCTTGCCACTTTTCTTCTTCACAGGTGTTTTCAAAGTAGCTTTGGCCGGTTTTATTGTTTGGTATAGTGATGGCGGATGAGGCCCTGGGACCCTGCTGGAGGGGCTGCCACGGCTGGCGTGCCTGGCAAGAAGGGGCGAGGGGTGGGGCGGGCTCGGCCTGCACCCCTGTGAGTGTGTGGTGTGAAGGTGATGGGTGTTGGTGTATTTGATGCCGTGTGTCCTCAACAAATGACGTATTGACAGTGGTTCCCATCATTTCCCAGTTCTCTGTCCATTTCTAAAATTGAACAGCTCACCATGTCAGCCCACACCCACTGCTTCCCCAGAGCAAAGCCAGCTCTGGGCAGGCAAGGCAGGCTTGCAGGCAGCGGTCAGAGCCCAGACCATGGGACCTGCTGTTTGGGGCAGATCTGCAGTTCCTTTTCTTTTCCTTTGGGGAAGGATTCTCATTTCCTGGTACCATTCTTGTGTGTGTGTGTGTGTGTGTGTGTATAATTATATGTATAATTATATATATATAATTTTTTTGAGAGGCAGAGTTACAGAGGGAGGAGGAGAGACAGCGGGATATTTTCCATCCTTTGGTTCACTCCCCAAATGGCTGCAGCAGCCAGAGCTGGGCCAGACCAAATCCAAGAGCCAGGAGTGCCTTCCAGGTCTCCCACGTGGGTGCAGGGGCCCAAGCGCTTGGGCCATCTTCTGCTGCTTTCTCAGGCACATCAACAGGGAGCTGGGTTGGATGTGGAGCAGTGGAGAATTGCACCGGTGCCCATACAGGACGCTGGCCCTGCAGGTGGTGGCTTAACTCGCTAGGCCCCAGCACCAGGCCCGCCACACAAATATTATGTAGCATTCATTGCAGGGGAGCCGTGCCCCAGACACTCTGTTCTGTATCTGTGTCACTTCCTCCTAATAACTGTCATCATCGCTCCCATTCCACAGACGAGGATGCCGAGACTCAGAGAAGTTGAGTGACTTGCCCACGGACACGCAGCTGGGAGACGGCTGGGCTGGGACAGAAGCCAGGGCCTTCCAGGCGACAGTGCTTGTGCTGTGTGACCTGCTGCCTCTCTGGGTAAGTTTACACATTCCTTGAAAAACCAGGAATGTGACGTACAAGCAAGTCCCATCTCGGCACACGTCACTCTAGCGTTACTGTCTATCTCCACTCACTCATTCAGCCGGCACACGCTGATTGAGGGCCCGTGCAGGTCCCAGGCGCTGGGGAGGGAAGGTGAGTGAGTTGGACAAGGTCCTTATCCTGGGAGGGGCTGGGTGCCGGAAGACAACAGTAAGGAACATGGGTCGACACGACCGTCTCTGACGGTGACAAGTGCTGTGACATAAACAGCCTGAGCGACATGCAGCATGGGGGCGATCCGGGGGAACAGGAAGCGGGGAAGACCTCTGAGAAAGGGACAGGGGAGTGGAGCAGGGTGAGGAGTCAGCCGTGCAAAGAGCAGTTCAGGCAGCGGAAGAGCGAGTGCAGTATAGAGAAGAGGGGAGGCCAGAGGTGCTGCAGCGTAGTGAGCGGGCGGCCGGGCCCACCCTCGGCCTGGCACAGTGAGCGGGCGGCCGGGCCCACCCTCGGCCTGGCACAGTGAGCGGGCGGCCGGGCCCACCCTCGGCCTGGCACAGTGAGCGGGCGGCCGGGCCCACCCTCGGCCTGGCACAGTGAGCGGGCGGCCGGGCCCACCCTCGGCCTGGCACAGTGAGCGGGCGGCCGGGCCCACCCTCGGCCTGGCACAGTGAGCGGGCGGCCGGGCCCACCCTCGGCCTGGCACAGTGAGCGGGCGGCCGGGCCCACCCTCGGCCTGGCACAGTGAGCGGGCGGCCGGGCCCACCCTCGGCCTGGCACAGTGAGTGGGTGGTCGGGCCCACCCTCGGCCTGGCACAGTGAGTGGGTAGGAAGTCCCACCATCAGGCCTGGCACAGCACGGTGAGTGGGCGGGCAGGCCCACCGTCAGGCCCAGGTGACAAAGTCACAGGGGACAGGAGGCCTGGTCATGTCCTAAGGAGCTCAGCCTGTTCCAGGTGTGGTGGGAAACGGCTGGGCCAGTGACGCGTATCTGATGGCACAGCACTGCACTGCGCTTCTGAACCGTGGCTGACTTCACTGGGCCTCTTTGGATAGAAATTTAGTGTCTTTCCCTGAATGTCTTGCTGTGTCGTCGTCATAACCGCATCTCTGTCACCTGTGCAGACTGACATGTGTCAGCTCTGCCCTCTCTGTGCCCAACCAGCACGCTTCCTGACACTGAGCCAACTGTGCCTTCTACGGAACAATCTTCTGTACACAGCATGACAACATGTGAGTCAACAGGACAGAACACATAATCTGGGGATGAATGTGTGTGTGTGTGTGTTGCTAATGCAACAGAAATCACATTTCAAATCAGTAAAAGTGGTCTTGAGGGAATTGACCTACCTATGAAAACAAATTTTTAACTTTCCATTAAACCCACAATTTTATTTCAGGTGGACTAAATAATTAAAATTATATGTGCAAAACTATAAAAGCACAATAAGAAAATATGAAAGAAATTTTTAATGTTCTTTGGGTAAGAAAGACTTTAAAGCAAGACATTATAATCCAAGAAGTTAGAAACTGGAAGACTAACAGATTTGCCTGAATTTAATTAAAATATTAAATCATTAACTACATAATTGAATATTAAATAGTTGAAATGTTTCTAGGGACTAGTGCTATGGCATAGCAGGTTAAGCTGCTGCCTGTAGCACCGGTAGCCTATATGTGCACCGGTCGAAATCCTGGCTGTTCCACTACTGATCCAGCTCCCTGCTAATGGGCCCAGGAAGGCAGTGGAGGATGGCCCAGGTGCTTGGGCCCTGCACCCACGTGGGAGACCCGGAAGAAGCTCCTGGCTCCTGGCTTCAGCCTGGCCCAACCCCTGCCATGGTGGACATCTCTGTCTCTCTCTCTAACTCTGCCTTTCAAAAAAAAAATTTTTTTTTTTAAAAAAAAGGGCCAGGCACTGAGGCATAGTGGGTAAAGCCATTGCCTATAGCGCCAGCATCCCATATAGGCGCTGGTTCAAATTCTGGCTGCTCCACTTCAATACATTCTCTGTTATGGCCTGGGAAAGCAGATGATGGCCCAAGTCTTTGGGCCGCTGCACCAAAGTGGGAGACCTGGAAGAAGCTCCTGGCTCCTGGCTTCGGTTTGCTCTGTCTGTTGGGGCCATTTGGGGAGTGAACCAGAGGATGGAAGATTTCTCTCTCTCTCTCTCTCTCTCTCTCTCTCTCTCTCTCTCTCTCAGCCTCTCTGTAACTCTGCCTTTCAAGGAAATAAATAAATCTTTAAGAAAAGAAAAGAAAGAAGTAACCAGATAGAATTATGGATGCAGA